ACTCTGCCTCCAAAAAAAAAAAAAAAAAAAGTCTTAGCAATATATGAAGACTTAAAAAAAAAGTAAAGTATGTCACACAAGGTACTGCCTTTAGTGTAAGTGGTGACTAGTTTAATGGCTACAACCTCTTAAGTTTTCAACATCATTAAACCATCTGGTGAAGCTTTGAGTACTCATAATGGAGCTAGGAAGAACTTTTACCATAGTTGACTACTCAGGCCAGGCACGGTGGCTTACACCTATAATCCTAGTAGTCGGGGAGGCTGAGGTGGGTAAATTGCTTGAGTTCACAAGTTCGAGACCCGCTTTAGCAAGAGTGAGACCCCCTACCTCTACTAAAAATAGAAAAACTGAGGCAAAAGGATTGCTTGAACCCAAGAATTGGAGGTTGCTGTGAGCTATGATGTCACAGCACTCTACCCAGGTAACAGCTTGAGAATCTGTCTCAAAAAAAAAAGTTGACTACTCAATTCAATTTTTAATTCTGATGAAAATGGCATCTATTTAAAATGAATGCACTTGAGGACCCATGTCATGAAGGAGAAAGCATGAAAGCTCCCAAGCACTGATGACAGTGTTGCTGAGTACAAATGACAGTAGAAATTTAACCATGTGTTATTGTTTTCACTAGTGTGCTCTGATCACAAAGTTAAGTTTAAGTGGTCTTCTTTAGCCGTATTTTTTCCATAAATCCTGTTATTGTAGGTGTATCATTTTATAAAACAGGAAATTCTTCAGGAAAGATAATATGACATTTTAGTAGAATGTCTGGTGGGCTTTTTTTTTTTTATCTCCATGAGATCTAGTTGGCTGTTAGCCACGTTGCATATACTCAGTAAATACCTATTTACTCTTAGGCATTTCCTTTAATTCATAAATATTTTGCTGTGACCTTGAAGGTGGTTATTTCTTATTTTTTTCTAATCCACGTTTCCTTTCATTTCTCTATGAATGACCCAGATGTTTAGATAAGGATATAACACAGAAGGGAGACCACAGAAAGCAGATGGATACTATAAGGATGATTAGAAACCCTCTGGGGTAATGGATGGCTCTAAGGTCATTTTGAAGAAAGATATATGCTGGCCTGTTATTGTTCTTCTCTCCCAGGGTTAGCTTTTAAATCTTGATTGAGTGCTATATGATGACAGGACAGAGGGAGAGACCCAAGGTCAGCAGGTCTAATGTACATTTTTTATATCCCAGCTGATGGTAGTAGCCTCTGTTTTCCTTTAGCATCAGAGAGAAGATGTGTCTCTATCCACCAGCCTACTGTGTGTCCCAGGAAGGTAAAAGTAAAGGAATGCAGGTGTGAGATCAGCCCTAGAACTACAA